ACGCTGGCAGGCACGACAGCAGCCAGGTGCAGCGCGAGGGGCATGTGGACTGGCGCTTTGTTGGTCTTGTCGTTGGTCGTCGTCGTCGTTGTCATTTCAGCAAGCAAATTGAAAAGTACTTTAAGATTGGTGCGGGACTCGTAGGTGGCATAAATGCAGCTTGCACACTGGTACGGATACATGTACGATACCGCGATGACCCCACACGTCAACGATGACGGTATCCACAATCAACCGCCTTTCGCCTGCGCGATGACGAGCAACCAGCTGGTACTTCAGTCGAGCGGTTCCTGGCTCGAGGTGTCCGGCCAATGCCTTAATTGTGGTGTCCTGAGCTTGAGTAACAAGAGTAGTGCCAAGCTCATCGTCAGGTCGGAACGTCCGCGATGATCTCTTTTGAACCTTCACGGTTGGCGATCCGCAAGTGCGCTCCGTGAGTGCGCTCTGTGATCAGTTGGCGGAGCGCCGAATGAAGGTCGTGCGTGGCTATCCGGATATGATGGCAGCAGTAACCGGTCAGCGCGATGTTGCGGCATGTCTTGGCACAAGAAGGCGTCGCGGCGACGGCGCTCGAGGCCAAGGGTATCCGCAGCTTCAAGCGGCTCGTCCAGGTCTCCGAGATGGAGGCAGCTCAGATCCTCGACGTCTCGACGACCGAGCTCGAGGTACATGGCACCCGACTCTGGCGTCCGCCCATCGTGTACTAGCACCTCGTGGCCCGGATCGCGCTCCGCAGCTGCCCCAAGCCAACGCTCGTGCGCGCTGCCGCTACAGCTTGCATAAAGCTCATGCTGCGTAGGCCTTTGACATGTTTATGAACAGCGTCAACTCGCCATCGAGCCTCCGAACGACGCTGGCTGAGCTTGACAAAGGCATGTACGGCGGTCTGCCCTGCGGCGCCATCACCGAGGTGCAGCGTCCCAATCCCTTTACGACTCCATGGCGCACCTAGCTCGCCGGTGTCTCTGGCATTGGCAAGTCGCAGTTTTGCATGCAGCTCGCGGTGCTCTGCGCGATCGAGTATCCCGACACGACGATTTTGTACTTCAACAGCGGCCAGAACGTCAGCGCCAAGCGGTATAGGACTCCTTCGCGATACTAATGACATGCAGTGTACCTACCGCATTTGTAGGATCTGCGAGATGGCGCGCGCACGGCTGTCGCCCATGGCCTACACGACCGAGGCGGCGCTGTGTGCCAAGGTTGCAGCCATCGCGCAGCACATTCGCCTCGTGCCAGTCTCGACGCTCGACGAGCTCCAAACGCAGTGCGTCCGCACAGCGTCATTGTCTCTCCTCTCACGAACATTGTAGTCTTGACGGTCTCGCAGCCGACTTGACGGGCAGCTGCAAAATGCTCCTCGTCGATTCGCTGGCGTCGCTGGCCCAAGAGGTAGTAGCCACTGCAAAGCACCTCGGATATCGACACAAGGTTAGAGCGGCCTTGAAATGTCGTTGGCGAAGCGGCAGATGCTGCTCATGAACGTCGCCAGCAATCTCAAGTACTTGGCTGCGGCGTACGAGGCCTTTGTGGTCGTGACCAACCACGCAACCACCAAGCACCACGACGGTACTACGTCGATCATGTACCCCCTTACACATACAAGCGCTCATGTTACGGACGTAGGGGCGCCGGCGTACTCGCATCCGGCGCTGGGTGTGGCCTGGGCCCACAGCATCACGATTCGCGTGCGTGCTGTCTGCTGTTATAACGCGCCAATACGCTGAAGGGTAGATCATACTGGAGCGCACGACGTCGTTTTCGCGGACGCTCACGATTCTCAAATCGTCCATGTCGCCGCACATTTCGTTTCCGTTTGAGATTCAGGTAGACCTGCCATGTGCGAGGTGCATTGGTATACGAGTGCATGGCCTTAGCGTCAAGGTTTGGTCATGCACCCTGCCACACGGAATGAGGACGGGGATGAAGACGAAGATGCATTTGACGAAGACATGCTGTCGTGGGCCGACTTGCCCGTGGTCGACGACCATGGTACCCTGCTGGCGTCCCAGTCCCAACGAAGCCTCGGCGACGAAGATGAGGATGAAGATGAGGATGAGGATAGAGACATGAAACCCTGCGAAACTGCGCCGGCATCGAATGCTGCGAGCACGCAGGCACCAAATGCGTCGGTGATGGACACCATGTTTGACATTGTCCCCGACTCGGACGAAGACGGAGACGCGTGGGCATCTGTCCCTGGGTGGTAGCCTCGCCTAAGAACGCGATAATAGATTGGGAATAGACACGCAGCAAGCCTCTTCCTAGCAGCCTGGGCCTTGTGTGCTTGGCATCGTGGCGCGTCGAAGCCAGACCTACACTCTTGTTTCAATCGATCGTCACTCTCGACGGCGCCGCTGGTTCTATTGCTGGATTTTCCATTTCCATTTCGAACAGCAGAACGAGGATGGAGCTCTTCCTGAACCCAGACATTGCGGCGAGCGTACTGCAGATGTGCATGGCCGAGACGGCCGCGCCGCTTGCCCTCGTCGTGCTCACGAACAAGCAGCTGCGGTCGTATGGCGCCAGCGACGCGCTCTGGGCACGCCTCGTCGACGCCCACTTTGGCCCGGCCCGGCCGTACGCGCCGCTCGTGGCCTTTCCCGTGCTGCCGGCGCTGTGTCGCCATCCGAAATGGGAGATGGACGCCGAGGTACCCTCCGTCTCGGCCCTTTGCAAAGAGTTTATCGAGACGACGATGGAGCGGTCGCTCTTCCAAGCCATGTCGGTGGTCCGCGGCAACATTGGCACGATCACGAATCTCGATGGTACGCCCATTGACTGCTTTGTCTTCCCGACGAACCCGTCACTGCGCAACCACGGAATTGGCGCGGCCGCCGCCATCTTTGAGCGCGCGGGCATCGAGCTCGACTTGCTCGTGTCGACGCGCGAGTACACGCGCAATCGCCATTACGACACGGCCGAGGTCGTCGTCACGCCCGGCTTCAACTCGGGCGCGAACCACCTCATCCACTGCATTGGGCCCTACTGGCGCATGCCAAACGCAGCGTCACGGCTCTACCTCACGTACGTGCACGCGTTTCAAGAGGCCATACGCCTCGACGCGCGCTGCGTCGTGGTCGCGTCCATCTCGACGGGGTCGCTCGGCTTTCCCGTGCCAGAGGCGAGCCGCATTGCGATGGCGGCGTACCGCGACGTCGTCAAGGCCTACCGCTGGCGCGCCAAAGTGGGCTTCATCTGCTACGAAGAGACGATCTTTGATGCATTCCATGCTGCGCGGGAAGCGACGCTGCATCGGTTCAACGACGGCTGCTTGGAGGTTGAGCCCCGTACCGAGCCGTTCGGCACGCGCAACCGTGTGCTGCACAGTGACGATGAAGAAGATGAGGAAGAGCCGGCTGCCCACGACGAAGGCCAGCGCGATAACGACGCTGCCTAAACACGTATTAGCTTTTCTCATTTTTCAAGTTATGAGCTGTTCAAGCAGCAGCATGGACAAAGCGATGTACAAGTTGTCGCTAGTGGTCACATCCTAATACGTGGCAAGGCGAGAAGGCGCAACTTCAAGCTTGCCTGATCGTCGAAGATCGGACTTGCCGTTCGATATCCGGATGCGCCGGTTGGGTGGGTCTATTTTTCGGGGGTTCATTTTCTGTCGGCTCGTCGCCGCCATGGAGCTGCTCGCGAACCAGGACATTTGCCAGAGCCTCCTCGAGATGAGCCCTCCGAGCACCGCGCATGCGCTGAGCGTCGTCGTCCTCTCGACGAACGGCCTCTGCGCGTATGGCGAAGACGATCTCTTGTGGCGGCGGCTGGCGCAGGCCCACTTTAGCGAGGTCAACCCTGCGATTTTGCCGCATGTGGCGCTACCAATGCCGCCGTTCAAGGTGCAGCTCTCGCCCGCGTGCAAGGCCTTTCTCGAGACATGCATCGAGCACGCTATCTTTTCGTCGATGCAGGTCGTCCGCGGCGACATTGGCCGCGTCACGAGCATTGGCAGCACAAAGCTCGACTGCCTCATCTTTCCGTCCAACTCGTCGCTCCTGAGCTTTGGCATTGGCGCGGCCGGCGCCGTCTTCAACCGCGCGGGCAAGGAGCTCACAGTGCTGCTACGAAGCCCCGAGTTTCGCAACACGCGGCGGTATGTGGCCGATGCGGTCGCGACGCCGGGGTTCAAGGCCGGCGTCGACCACTTGATCCACTGCGTCGGGCCCTCAACGAACCGCCCCGACTGCGCCGCGACCTTGTACCGGACGTACTTTAACGCGTTTGAGCGCGCGCGCGAGGTCGGCGCCACATGCATTGCGATCGCGTCCATCTCGACCGGGTCACTCGGCTTTCCGGTCCACGAAGCCGCGACGATTGCGATGTGTGTGTACCGCGACTACATCAAGGCCGTGCGGTGGCGCGCGCGGCTTGCGTTTGTCTGCTACGAAGACCGCGTCTTGGAGGCCATGACGCGCCAGCGCGATGCGATCCTAGCGGCGTTCAACGCCGGCAGCCTCGAGATGCCGACCGTCGAGCTGCGACGAGCGCCATGATTGTACTACTCTCGACCTCTATCTAATCATCCACCTCCATGCCCTCTGTCCGCACGTCCTATGTGCACCTTCTCCAGTACCCACCAACGATCTGATGGCCTGCCATTCAGCTCCAGTCGACTCTGCGAGCTCGAATCCAAGCTCCTGCTGGCATATTATCTCACGAACAGGCTCGACCACTTCCTCGACGCCCTTTGCGAGCTATCGAAGCAGCTAACGTGTTGGCCACGGAATGACGCATTGCAGCTGGATGGCCAAGTGCATGCGGGCTGACTGCAACGACAGACACCAAGTGCAAGCAGCATGTATCGTCGATAGGATGGTGTGGACGTCGGTCGCGGGTGGGCGCAAGGCGCGTCGTCGTCGTTGGCATGGGCCAAGAAGGGAAAAAGACACTATATTTGGCTTGATCACGTCCTAGAAGCGAGTCGATCGAGGTAGCATAGAGGAGTCCATCCATTTACGCCTTGAGGGCGTAGCGGCGCTTGGGGAAGTACGCCTCCTTCTTCTGCTGCTTGAGGGTCTTGATGGCCTTCTCCGACTTGGTGAGGGCACGGCGGATGGCGCGCGTCTTCTTCTCGCGGAGGTCGACCGGCACGTGCTTGCCGTTGCCGAGCTTCTCGCGAAGGCGCTCCTTCTGCGTCTGGTTGTACACCGTCAAGACGCGGGCGATCGACTTGCGGACCGTCTTGATCTTAGCAAGCTTCGAGGCGGCGCCGCCCGTGACCTTGGCGACACGGAGCTGGGCGAGTTCCTGCTGGAAGTCATCGAGTTCCGTGAGGAGCTCGGCCTTGGTCTTCGAGCGCAATTCGTGAGCCTTGATCTGGACTACACCATCATGCATGAGCCTCGTCCTCCTGCTTCCATGCATGCTTACGTACCCATTATTTATCTTTTGGTTCTTCCCTTTTTTGAATGAAATTCGCTGCCGCCAAGCGCCGTAGTCGCACTGGCCAGTCACTCGGTCCCAGCTTTCTGCACCAACCAAGAATTCCCATCTTTTTGGCCAATCCGCACGCGACCCTCTATGAACGAATATGTTTAGAGTATCAAATGCGACAGGCTGTTGCCAACAGATCGATGCAGTTTACAACAGAGTATGACCGCGCGTCGATTGAACAGCGGCGACCGCGCCGACATGCACACAGCCCGACACGAGAGCGCTATCAGCAACACAGCGCAAGGTATATCGTATGAAGGTAGATGCACGACAGAAGCGAGAGCGTCGCGGTTCGGCGGGACCATATTGTTTTAAACACATGGTGCAAAAGCGATCGCAAACCTGTATAATACAATTCAAAAGCGGCGCCAAGACACGATGGACGACGTGTTCGACCTCGTCGACCGCATCGAGGAGCAGTGCATTGTCCAGGGCCATGCGCAGGGCGTCGAGGAAGGCCGCCGCCTCGGCTTCCAAGAAGGCAACGACTTGGGGTACACCCATTGAAGACGACATGGACCTGACGAGGCGCGTAGCGAGGTCAAAGGCTACGAGATTGGCAGCGAAGTCGGCTTCTACCATGGCTGCTACCTGCTCTGGAGCGCAATGCTACTTGCTGATGCGTCGTCGCTGCCGCCGAGGTAGCCGCTCATCCTCTCGACAGAATGGTGTCGCCACAAAATCTTCTGGCACAGAGCGGTCAAGTCGATCGAGTCGCTCGGCCAGCGCATTCGCAACTACGCCCTCGTCGTACGATGATACTCAGATCCTAGTCGTTCTTAGTTGAAATCGTGCGTAGAACAGCCTCGATGAGAAGATCCACATGGACCTGCAGCTCATTCGCGCCAAGTTCAAGGTCGTGACGTCGCTCCTCGGGCACCCGTCGCTCGTCTTCAACGAGCAGAATGTCCTGGACCACAAGAACATGTCCTTCTAGTCGCTGCGACGATTAACTATATCAAAACTGCCTACGCGTCGTGCTTGATTGCGGCGAGAAGGGCGAGCTCGTACGTGACAGCGCCAAACCCTGCATGACGATCGACCATCGCGATAGGCTTGGATGACACGTACCGCTGATGTAGCGCAGACCCACAGGGACGGGCGACGTCTCGGGCGACCCCAGCGGGTTGATCAAGATGACTCGGGCGTGGGAAAGCTCCATAGCGCGTCGGATACCGGCGCCAAGCAGGCCTACGAAGCCCAATCATCTGCTGATCTGCGAATCGTTTGTAACTTGACGTACCACCGGTGTTGAGGACGATGGTGGTCGACGCAGCGCTGGACAAGAGCACGTCGATCACAGCGCCTTCGTCGTTGGTGTGCGACGAGGTTAGGGAAACGCCCTTGGCGGAGGCTCGCAGTTGCGCCTCGAGCCGACTCCACGATACCTGCGTCCTAGAGGAAGCGCATGAGCCATCGACAACACATGACACATGCATGCTGTACCCCGCGAGAACGTTGCCGTGGACGAGCGAGCACGGGCCGTTGAGAATATGCACGTCACCAACCACCGTTGACGTGGACCACACAGGCGTCGTTGGTGCTGCCTGCACGGGCGTTGGTGGTGTTGACGTGTAGTGCGCTGGCTGCGGATCAATGTATCGAGGCACCGGCGGGCGAGGCTGCTCGATGCGCCGTGGCGACGTAGGATCGTAAGCCGCATCGTCTTCCTTGTCGGGCAGTGGGCCCAAGAGCGATGAGAGCTCTAAGATCGACGTGCATACGCTGCGCATTCAAGCTCGGGTTGTAGTACCTGCATCGAAGAGGTCCATGTCGCTCTCGTACATCTCCTCGGCTTCGCTACGTGTCGGCGCATTCGAAGGCGACAACGTCGTCGAGTGGACGCTGCCAAAAAGGTTGGGCAGAAAGTAGTCGTCAGCCGTCTTCTTCGTCGCGTAGGCACGCCGCCATGGACCGAGGCGCCGGGCGGCCGCTCGCACCTGCCACATGTGCTGCTGCTCGCAGTTGTTCGGATATAAACCGGATTCGGATTCGAAGCTCCGTTGGGTTGGGACCGATGGCGCACGGCAAGACTCCAACTCCATCGACGTCGTCACGTGAGCATTACACAAGACGCACATCAAACATTATCACTGGACTGCGCGACGAACAATGCGGCATAAATACGGTCGTCAGCCTAGTCCCAGCGCACCACATTGCGGCTGCGCTTGGCCACAGCCACATGGGATTTGGACGACGACGTGCGTATAAGGCTAGCTTGATGGATGATCTTGCGCGGAAGGCCCGTCGACAAGATGCACGAGCACGTGGGGAGCTTTCGGATGATGCGGATGGCGGGCAGCATACCATCGCTGTAGAGTTCGTCACAGTCGCCTACGTCAAGATGAGCGCCATCCCAGCGGGCCCACGTGTCAATCGATGTACCTGCGGGATCGGCATGGGTGTCGCGCTTCCATTGCACCACGCAGCAGCCTTGGGCGCTCTCCCATGTTCGCCGCGCCGCGCCATTGAATGACTAGCAAGCAGCAGCACACGCGTTGAGGGGACGAGGCACGTAGATATGTCTACCTGGAGGCGGCGCTTCGGGTGCAGGTACATGGGCGCGACGTCTGCGCGGCCGACGTAGCACGAGCTGCTCAAGGCGCCCATAAAAGCTCTTCGGAAAATGTGGTCCCGTCGTGACTGGACGTTTGTATGCTGTTGAAGCGAGCGAGAAGATTGCAACGGTGATCTGGTCATGGCTATCCGTACCCGTAACCGGAGGCTCTCGGTATCTAAGATCTTATCAAGCGCTCTTTATTTAAAACGTGATGTGGGATCGAAGTTCGAAGTCATTGCGGTGTGACTGTTGCACCGCAAAATGGGTTAATGGGTTAAATATTGTGGCTTGCATAGCGCGTGGCCATTTTCACCTCCAAAAAACCATCGATTAGCAGCGATAATCGATGGTTTTATTAGATAATCGAGGCATAGCGCGACACGCGTAAATTATAAATTCTGGTGGGACAGTCTCCAAAAAAGAATATAACTATTACGAAATATACTCTATGTATTTGTATGCTATATTTATGGTTTTACTAAAGATGTCTGGCAGGCCACCCGCTTTTGTCATTTGACACCTTAGCCCACGCCTCAAGCAGGAGCGCTAACCTGAGCGCTAATCAATGGATAGCGGAGGATAATCCGAAGGTTTGCATTTCTGAAATGGCAAACCTTCGGATTATCCTCCGCTATTCAATGATTAGCGCTCAGGTTAGCGCTCCTGCTTGAGGCGTGGCTGCGGACCGCTAGGAGGAGCGCTGGCCATTGAATAGCAACGGATAACCGCTATCCAGTGGTTTGCGCTCCTGCTCGAGGGATATCCGTGGACTAACAGCAAGGCGCAAACGCTACGCGTAATGTAGCTCGGGGGCAAGACGGAGCTCCTGGTCACGGCACTTCTTCTCCACAGCGCTCACTGCCACTACTCCACGTCTCTTCCTGGTGCTAAGATCCAAGCCGCTTTAGTGCTTAGCGCGGCACGGTGCGCATTATTAGTCAAGACAGTTGCGGTCATGGCTAGTTTCCGTTGGGTTTGCACGTGGGCGCTCGCGTTTAAGCCACGAAAACACGATGTTATTGCATTATCTGGCACTACGCTACATGGCAGCGGTATGAGCCTTCTCCACTGCGGTGTATGGGTAGGCGACGGAGCCGTGGCGCACGCGGCGCTTGAGCTCCTTCTGCGCAGGCGCCATCATCGGCGCGTTTCCGACGCTCACGCCGGACGAACGTGTCCCCGAGCCAAACGTCTTCGTATCTCTTGCGGTTCTTGACCACCTAGCTACTAGCAGCGATCCACCTGTACCTAGAGGATGGTGTCGATGCGGCACACGATGAGCGCATTGCCGGCGTGCATGCTCGCGCTCATCCCACTGCCATCGCTCGTCGATCGTCTGACGCCGGCCGCCCAGCGCTGCGCCAGGCAATGGTCGCTCGAGGCCTTCGACAGCCTTGCGCACGTGTTGCTGCTATCGGTACTGTTGCACGAAGGTGGTCTCGACGAAGCGCCGGGTGTGCGCAGCCGGGTGCTGTACGCCATAGTCGGGTACGGGAGGCGTGCCGCAGAGGGGCCGTGGGCGCCACGGACCAGTCTGCACCTGCAAGGGATCGACCGTCAGCGCGCGCGCGGCGCGGCGGCCTACATCGTGTCGACATGGTTGATGCGCGCCCCTCGAGTCCGAGGACGCACGCCGGCGC